TCTCTCTCTCTCTCTCTCTCTCTCTCTCTCTCTCTCTCTCTCTCTCTCTCTCTCCAGGGTTTCTCTGTAGCTTTGGAGCCTGTCCTGGCCTCAGACTCACAGAGATCCAACCTGCCTCTGCCTCCCCAGTGCTGGGATTAAAGGCGTGCACCACCACCACCTTTGAATTATCTCTTACCATTGACACTTGCGTCACATGCTTGAGTTTATCTTTCTGTCATCAATAAAATGCATGTTATAAAATTTAATGCAAAATAACAGAAATACTTAACAGAGAAATTCTCCACACTCAGATGGCCCAGAGATAAAACCATCATCTTTAATAATCACATGTTTCTAAAAACCAGTGTGCATTTTTTCTTACCCCTTTCAGTATATCTGAGGTATTCTCTGTGACTCTCCAAAGCTACAACTCACGATTTTGAATGACTGTGTTATATGAAAACAAGCATGTACCACTGCTTCTTCTAGTTGGCATTTGAGTTTTTCTACCATTTTTTTTCTTCTGAAAGAAGTCAGGGAGATGCAGACAACATGTACATCACTTTTGTAAGGATCTCAAAGGCAAAGTCTGCATCATATTTCAGAGTCATGGGACACATGCGTTTAAACATTTTACTTACTTTTTCCCCCCAAAATACCCAACAAGAAGGTTCAATAGAGTATAAAGACTGACTCACCAACAGCCTTTTTTTTTTTAAAGAACTGGACTTACAGTAGTTATAGTAGCTATTGTTTCCATAACAAAAACAGTAGGCTAACACTCGTATGTTTTAATGCTGCATGAGATTTCCAGTCTCATGTTCACTGTTCATTCACATCCCCCTACCCTACCCACATCCCACTCCCACACAAGACAGATTTTGTGTGTGTGTGTGTGGTGTGTGTGTGTGTGTGTGTGTGTGTGTGTGTGTGTGTTTGTAGCCCTTACTGTCCTAGAACTAGCTCTCTAGACCAGGCTACTCTGAAAATCATAAAGATCCGCCTGCCTCTGCCTTCTGAGTGCTGGGATTAAAGCCCTGTGCCTCCACTGCCCAGCCAATAATCCTTATTGTTGTTGTTGTTACAACTACAGTTCATGGGAGCTATGTGTCTCCCATATATTAAATGCTTAGATAGAGTGCTCTTACTATTTTTAGGGATAAAGTGAGAGTTAGGATGTTAATACGAAAGCTCAAATTTGTGTCCCAGTGCTCAGCTATTAGGTCATCGTGCTAGAATCTCTCCAAAAGAAGCAGGCGTGGCCTCCAAAGTTCTTTCCAAGCCTTATTGTTTCACATACACGTATTCTGTAGATTATTTTATCCATCCATATAGCCTCCAGAATATATCTCCTAAAGCTCTTGTTCCAATGTCTAGCAGCTTACTAGACATTGCCAAGTGACTGTGTAGGGAGTGGTACTTCAAACATAGCACACGCAACATGGAAATCATTATCTCCCTAAATCCTAGACTCCCCCAAGCTAGTCTCTTCTCCTCTGGCAGCAGAGGTTCATTATGTTCATCTAGCTGTCGAGCCAGAGACTTTGTCTTTTTTTTTTTTAAAAGATTATTTATGTATGTTAAGAGTGTTCTTTCTGCATGTACACTTTTACACCAGAAGAGGGCATCAGAGCCCTTTACAGACGGTTTTTGAGCCACTGTGTGGTTGCTGAGAATTGAACTCAAGACCTCTCTGGGAGAGCAACCACTGCCCTTAACTACTGAACCATCTTTCCAGGTCCAAGTCAGAGACTTCCAAGCCACTTTTGTTTTGGGCCACTGCCGCACTTCCTGTCGGATTGGTTTCAAAGTTTGTCAGCATAGACTACAGACTGCTTCTCAATCTGTCATCTATACCTCCTTTTACTACAGCTTAGGAACTTAAAGACCGCAACACCTCTCTTGGGCTGTTGTATCTGCCCTCTAAGTGCTCTTCCTCCTTTTCCCTAGGTACTGTCTTTCAGGCCCTTCGCTATCAGAGCTAACGTCTGAAAGCTGATAACTGGCTACCATATCCTGTCCAAAGGTCTTCAATAGCTTCCTTCTAAATAAGTACTAAACTAATTAGTGTAGTTTATGAACATTCCCTAGAATGACCCTAGTATTTCACCCCAAGTTTATTGGCAGTATGCCATTACCTATGCACCTTAAACTATAGCAAGTCATGACTACTGACTTTCCTGAGAAATGTCGAGCAGCTCCAGGACACCGAGCTTGTGGTCACACTGCTTGGAAGACCCTCTCTGGCATCTTTTCTATCTGGCGTTACAGTTGTCTGCCGACGTTTAAGATCCTGGACCCTTCTTGCGCACAATTTACACTCACAGCTCTGGCTGCACAATTTAGTCCTTGTCATTTTTGTTCCTAATTCTATCAAAAATGTACTACAGGGGACTTTTAGACTGGTTATGTGTATGCTTTCTCCAAGGAAAATATCTGAAACATATTAAGTACTTCTTATTCTTAGGAGCGTTACTTACAAATCGAAGTGTTTGGCCAGGTGGTGGTGGCACATGCATTTAATCCCAGCACTTGGGAGGCAGAGACAGGTGGTTCTCTGTGAGTTCAGAGGTCAGTCTGGTCTACAGAATGAGTTCCAGGATAGCCAAGGCTATACAAAGAAACCCTGTCTCAGAAGACAAAGCAAAACAACAGAAACAAACAAACAAACAAACAAACAAAATGAAGTGCATTTGTAACTCGGGCAAATTTAAACCAAACAACTCCCAAGTTTGTTTCCAAATCTGAAAATCTCTGTCTTTTCTATGTACTGAAATCTTACAGGATGCCCTTGCAACTATTACTCTGCCTTGGAACAAACTCTTGCTTTGAGTGGCCTGTTCTGCTCTAACTTCTTTGCAGAGACTCCAAAAAACAAGAATGTAGGCTGCTGGCCATGGCAGTCCAGAGAGTGTTCCACTGAGTTCCTGAAGGAGGTGGGGTAAAGCACGTTAGAGCACATGGGATCCCGAGCGGAGTCTCAGGACATCTGGGACTGATTGTTCTGGTGAGAGGCTGAAGCCGAGAGAGCGATTCTTGCGCTGCTTTTGGACATCTGGGCTTTGGCAACTACCCCATGGCTTTGCTCAGCAGTTCTTGGGAAACGAGATACGGGCTTGTTTCGGGGAAAGCAAAACCTTTATTGACGTAACATCTACTACAGCGGAGGACATCAAAAGATTTCTTTCCCCCTTATATTGACTCTGGCTAGGTCTAGATGTCACTGTCTTCAGCAGAGAAAGAGCAATTAGCGACCTACGTTAAAATCCCAGCAGCCCTGCCTCTTCCTGGGCGAAGTATCTGGAAAAACTCAGTTCTCAGTGTGTCTGTGTCAAACGGGTTCTGGAGTATGACCTGCTTCATAGATCTCTCAATATGCAGATGCCAACCCATCAAAGTCAGATTCTCTACATAGTGAAAGAATAGGAATCTGAAACCTGATTGACCTAAGTTCAAGCACTTCAGGACACTTTAGACTGTCTGGTCTGCACTGGCTTCCACAAGTGCCCCTCAGTTTCTCCTCCTGCTACGGCTCCTGTCAACTTGAGGCTACTGAGAAAATATATTCACTCCATTTATCTTGAAGTTTCTCTTTAAAAAATTTAAAACATATTTTACTAACTCTGAAAATATACTGTGTTTTCACCATCTTATCTCCTCCCCATCTTCTCCCGGATCCACCTCTGATCTCACCCATCCAACTTTGTTCTCTCGTTTTTCTTAAAGTCCTCAAGTCCTATTAGTGCTGCCTGCACAATTTTACACGTGTGCCTTAAATTTGTGTGGACCTGGCTCATGTTGTCATAACCACTATGAGTTCACACGTATAACTGTTTTATGCAGAGGACATTTCTTCACTGTAGTCATCCAAGCACCACGGCCCCTTACAGTCCTTCCGCTCCCTCTTCCACAATGATCCCTGAGCCCTAGGAGGGGGGGAATGCAGATGATGTGTCCTTGCAGGCTGAGCACTCAACAGTTGCTTAGTCTTTGAACCTTGACCATCTGTGGGTCCCGTATCTTTATACATATTTATTTTTTTATTGCTTTAGTGTGTGTGTGTGTGTGTGTGTGTGTGTGTGTGTGCACGTTCCAGGGCTGAAGGAGCAGAATGCTCCCACAGCACATCAGCATGCATTTGGAGGTCACAGGACAGTTTGCAGGAGTCTGTCCTTTTCTCCTACCGTGTGGGTCCCAGGGATCATCTTCAGAGGTGGCAGCAGGTTCCTTTAAGGGACTTAGGCATCTCACCAGCTCTGAGGTTTCTCTTACTTGAATATAAGCTGGGTAGAAAAAGTTTTACTCCAATTTTGAGGAAAGAGCCTGTGTTGCTTCTCTGAAATTACATACTGCTTGCATTTTCCTTGTCGTTTCATTAGTAGTTATTTCAACACACAATAGGTCCTTTAAAGAGGGCAGCCTGTCAAAGCCTCAATCACATTGTGATTCTGACTAACAATTCCCTCCAATTTCAAATATTTTGACGTGTTACCTCAAGAGTAAGCAGCAACAAGAGTTCTGTAAGGAAGGGGAGGGAGGAGAGTCTAGCTCACACTGACTTAGCAATGCTCTGTTGGGCTTGTTTAGACAGGATTCTGCTTAAATCCTTATGACTTAAGAAGTCCTAACAGCTCATGATTTACTGATATGTCAGTGGTGGAGAATCCCAGTCTCAAGGAGGAGTAAATGATTTGCTCAGGTTCATGGAACGTCCTAAGCAGTGAAAAATAGGTTAAAATCATAAGTCTTACTCCAGTCATGAACATTCCTTACCCTACTCATAACATCAAATAATAATATGGTAATGTGTATGAGTCATTTAAACATCCTGGCTCATTATGACTCCACTTCAGAACACGAATTACTGTCATTATCGATATTTTATTATGATGTTGACAATCAGTGAGCATTTAAGATTTAAGGTTTGCCAGACCTGAGCTTTATGTATGGTCTCATTAATGCAGAAATGAGAGGGAACTGCCATTATTATAGTGGTGCCTAACTACAGGCTAAGGGAGTTGAGTAAGTTCTAAGTGGGGCCAAGGGCGTTAAAGTAAATTCTCTAAGACGGGAGAGCAGAGCGTAGGAGCCTTGAGTCTTGAATCTGCTTTTAGAGTAGAAGCTAGACTGCCTCCAGAGGCCGCATGAAAAAGTTTAGGGACCTGTATTAAATCCCAGCGCCGCCTCTTTCTGGGCACACTAGCTTAAGCGAATCAATTCTCAGGTTTTCCATACAGAAATGGTTCTGGAGCATGTCAGTTGAGTTGCCGTGCGCATTTGTATAACCAAGTCCACCGAAAGTCCTTACTACATTGCAAAAGGAAAAAAAAAATCTGATCAACTTTAGTTTATATCTGACCCCAAACATCTTAAGTTTCGGTTTTAACCTGAGACAAAAACATACCTACCCAGCTGGGGCTTTTAAGTCAGAAATAGCATGTGTTACAGAAATGGAAGCAGATTCATATTCTAGTTTTTTCATATTCTTATTGTTTTGATTTTTAAAATATGCCTTTATACATACTTGCATGCAGGGAGCAAATTCCTCCCTGCTTCTTTGTGTGGTCCTCTGTACCCCTAAACTGAGTGTTATAGAAGGACACTGAGGAACCCAATTCTCTGGACAATAAAGGCAAGAGCCTTTCTCAGGGCCTACCTGAAGTGTGGCTGACGAGGCTGGTGTGGATAGCACGGACTGCAATGTTCTGCAAGCTCATTTCTCCCACTTGACTAACCTAGGGAGTCTGCTGAGAATGGACTGATTAGGAACCACTTCTGGTGAACGAGATCAGAATCCTAACCACATCCATTGTGGTAGATTGAATGTAAGTTTTCCCCATAAGCTCATAGGAAGTGGCACTATTAGGAGGTGTGGCTTTGTTGGAGGAAGTGTGGCCTTGTTGGAGGAAGCATGTCATTGCAGAAGCAGGCTTTGAGGTCTTATATATGCTCAAGCCATGCCCAGTGTCTCAGGCCACTTCTTGTTGCCTTTAAGTCAAGATGTAGGGCTCTCAGTTACTTCTCCAGCACCATGTCTGCCTGCTCACCACCATATCCCACCACAATGATAATGGATTAAACCTCTGAAAGTCTAAGACACCACATTAAATGTTTTCCTTTATAAGAGTTGCCATGTTGTGGTACCTCTCCACAGCAATAGAAACTCGAACTAAGACACCAATAAACTGGACCCTCTTTGTTACAGAACTCTCTGAGAAGAGCACACAGCCTTTTGGATCACATTTATTTGGAACCAAATCTCTAAGTCTATGAATTTGAGAAAAATCTTCAGAACCTTGAGCTCCATTCTGTCAAATGAGAGCTTCATATTGGGTAGTTATAGAACTTTAAATGAAATTGTTTCTAAAAAGGACCTAGCTCAGTTGGGGATTTTAGCAAACACAACCATTTTTAATCTCACTTTTTTTAAATGGCAGCAATTCAGTGCCAATATCACATTGAGATGTACAAGTATAAATGATAAGGAAAGAGAGGAGATTGGGTTAGGTCTCTGCCTAGTATCCCCTTTGGCTTAAATCTAAACATCAAAAAAAAAAATCTGAACATGCTAAATAGGCCCAACTGCCTGCCATGTATTTAGAGACCTAGATATATTCAATGAGAAAAATAATTTTAATATGTTCACTTATTGACTGTTGAAATCCACAAATATACAATCTTGTGGCTATCATATTGTCAACAAAGATCTTGTCTTGCAGGATTTGTCTAAAATGCTCAGCACTGAGAGTGATATGCTTAATGTACACACACACACACACACACACACATTAATATATATATATATATATATATATATATATATATATATCATATTACTACAGTCATCTTCTGGAACTCTGGACCGTAACCTAATAAGAGAGGAACTAATTATGTCCAGTATAGAATTTGACAAAAACTATAAATGAGCTAAGATTTTTGCTTAACTAGATAATCACCAGTACCTGGCTGAATCAGACAGGCTGATTCATATACCATAGTGACAACATGGTTTGTGTCTGTGGAAAATCTGACAGAAGATGCAGAACTTACCTCTGCAATAGGGTAAGGAGGCTTTTAGTTTCTTTGCTCTTGACGTGCTCAGTTCCATAGACAAGAATTTGAACCATCAGACACTGTAGGTGAAATGAGAAATGTAACAGGTTACAGACACTCAGAGCAAACATGCCAATGTCAATTGCAAGCCAAAGCCAGAAGCAGACTGGTGGGCCTGGGCTGTCCCAAGTTTACAGATGGAATGCATGCACTTCATCCCACTGGTTCCTGGCCAAAGAGAAGAGTGGTATGGACTGAAGGCTCAAGTTACTTTTTGTAGCCTGCATGTGATATATACACAATCCAGTTTACTGCACTTGTTGCTATAGACGACCAAAGCAACAGGACCCCAAAGTGATAGCATCCGTCCTTAAGACATGGTTATAACACTGGTCTCTATCAGGATATTGTTTTTAAAAAAATTCAAGCTAAATAGATACACAATTGAACTCCATGTATGCCTGCCAAAGCTGCCTTGTAGTCTGATGTTGATCACATTATTCTTAGGCAGGTTTCTTGATGCTTTATTGCTGACATTTGTTTCCACATAAAATAAATCTAATCTCTATCTCAAGCAGCCAACAGAACCTAAGCAAATGCATGAGTTGATTTTCAAAACACCGGACATCAGACAATAAAACAAAAGTGATTACCACAAAGAGAGAAAGTGAGTGTGGCAAATGACATGATTGCCCTAGGTTACCTCTTTGCATTTCTGGGCTATCATACAGAAAAGAAAGAGCAAATTAGGTTTACCAGAATCTCTCATGAAGCTGAGAGTCCAAGTAGACGTCTAGAGAAGGGATACAGAAAGGAGATACCTTCACAGGAAAACAATGGGGATCTGCAGTGACCCTCCCAAGTAGCAAAGGCTAGCCCTTGCATGAGAGAAAACTGCAGAAAGCACAGAAAGGAGTCATGGGCAGGGAATGGTGGGCAGAGCACCTGGCATTTATGCCAGGTTAAGTTAGTGACTGTTCTCACCATGACTAAATGGTGTCTAGTCTCATGCGAGACCTCCAAAGCCACACAAACAAACACCAAGTTGTTTACGAGCAGTTTAACTGGAATGAATTTCGAGAATAATTAGAAGACTACAATGAGATCCAATACCTACTAAGGTCTATAGTGTCAGCCTTTAATCCCAGCACTCTGAAGGCAGAGGTAAGCAGATCTCTGAGTTTGGGGCCAGCCTGGTCTACAGAGCAAGTTCCAGGACTCTGGAACTCAGCATGAAAAACAAACAAACAAAAAACAGTGAAACCTATAATGACAAAAAGCATCCAATCAAAACTAACCAAGAAGCATATGGGAACAGTGGCACATTCCTATAATCCAGCTCTCAGGTAGCTGAAGCAAGAAGAATCATGACTTTAAGACCAATATGAGCTATAGGGAGACCCTGTCACAAAAAAAAAGGAGGAGGAGGAGGAGGAGAAGGAGATGCAGAAGGAGGAGGAGGAGGAGGAGGAGGAGGAAAAGGAGGAGGAGGAGGAGGAGGAGGAGGAGGAGAAGAAGAAGAAGAAGAAGAAGAAGAAGAAGAAGAAGAAGAAGAAGAAGAAGAAGAAGAAGAAGACGAGCACACTGGATGCCCTTCCAGAAGTACTGAGTTTAATTCCCAGAAACCACATGGTGGCTTACAACCATCTGTAATGGGTGCCTCTTCTCACCTGCAGACATACTTGCAGACAGAACACTTTACACATAATAAATAAATAAATAAATCTTTTTCAAAAACTATCATTGGAACTATATTTGTTTTCCACTCACTGCCCCCACGTGTGTGTGTGTGTGTGTGTGTGTGTGTGTGTGTGTGTGCTAAGGTTGAACAGATTCATGGACACACACACATACAGAGAGGGATCAAATAAAAACTTTGGAGATAAATATGTCTTACATAAAAACAAACTGGATATGATTAACAGCTGTTTTGATACTAAATTAAAAAAAAATTTGAAGACACTGAAATGGAACTATCTAAATCAAAGCTAGCTATGGATCATCTCAGTGTAGACAGAATAACAATTTTATAATATTCAATATCTGCTTCTAATTAAAAGCTCTCACCAACTTAGAAGGAAAGGAAAACTTCTTCAGTATAATACAATATCTGAAAAGATCTATAGTTAACATCAACTCTAATAAGGAAAGCCTAAAGAATTTTTTCACAAAGTTTGGGATCAGACAAAGGCGTCTGCTCCCCTCTGGTCTACTTGACACAGCTTTTGCATTCTGATTGCGCAGTAGGATAGGAAGAAGAAATGCAAATCATCCAGCTTGGAATCAAAGATACCATATTTATTAGCACATAATGGGACTATCTGTGTGGAAAATCTGACAGAGCGCACAACACCGGTACTAGAGCTAACAAGCTAAGCAAATGTGCCAAGGTCATGAGACACAAGATTATAGAAAACCCAAATCAATTGTGTGTTCACATATCAGCAACAAACAATCAGAAAGATATATTTTAAACAGGATAAAAATGCAAACTCAGATAAATATGAGAAAATACGTGCAAGACATATATTGAAAACTACAAAATATTATTGTGATAAATTATAATTTATATTAATTCTGTAATCCATGTTCATGAGAGAGGTCACAAACACTATTAAGATGTCATATCCCACCTGGGTGATGGTAGCAGCAGGGAGGGCAATAGCGCAAGCACAAGCAAGCACATGTAAACTCACAATGAGTAAGCAAAACTGGCCAAGACAACCTGTCAGTCGACCCAAAGCATGGTAACTAGTGACACGTGCTCCTAGCCAATCACAACACTACCAGCAGCGACTGCCAGGTTCCTGTGGCAGTTTAATTTCCTTAACCCCATAACCGCTCCCCAACCCCAACACACCTTTTTACAATAAAGAGCTTCTGCATTGGAATCTCCAGAGTCTGTGTCTTCCACATCTTCTCACCCCCTGCCGCCCCTCCCTGGGAAACAGGGATAGCACAATAGGTGGCAACAACAGCCAGCAAAAACCACAATGGCCCATGCCTTTAATCCTTCAATCCCAGCACTCAGGGGCAGAGGCAGGCGGATCTCTATGAGTGTGAGACCAGCCTGATCTGTAGGGTGAGTTACAGGACAGCCAGGGCTGTCACACAGAAAAACCCTGTCTCAAAAACAGAGAGAGAGAGAGAGAGAGAGAGAGAGAGAGAGAGAGAATAAAATCTCTACAAACAAATCTGGGCCTTCTGTGCAATCTCAGTCACAACTCCAGTAAGTTTTAAAATATGAATTGACATAGTGACTGTAAAATTCCTCTGGAAATGTAAAAAACCCAGAATACCATCAATAAATTTGAAGCAAAATTAGAAGTTCCCAAATTAAAGCCTTGTTTTAAAACTACACCACTCAATATGCATTAGCATATAGACAGACAAATCAATGGAACAGAAGAGTCTAGACACGCAGAAAAATCTTTATTAAATCTGTTAGCATGCAGAGCCATGGGCTTCATTTCCATATGCATGTATCAGTTTACATGGTTCTTGCTGCCCCAGTGGCCACTGTCCCCGGTGAGTGACCCCTTCCTCACCTCTGCTCTCACTCACACCCATCCCATGATGCTCTCTGGTTCCTCCTCCCCCTTCTCTTTAGATTCTCACAGTAACTTCTCTACTTTCTTAAAAAAAAACTCTGAAACACACCTTTTATTATATTTTAAGACACAGAGTTCTAGTACATTTTGTAGACCAGCTTGGCCTGAAAATTTACAGCCATCCTCCTGGCCCTGCATCCCAATTTCTAGGATTACAGGCTTACATCATGCTCTTGGCATTGAATCTGCCTTTTTAGAAATAAAAATTTGGGCTGAGAGATGGCTCAGCCGTTAAAGGTTAGGCTCACAGGCGCGCAACCCAAAGATGAGAAATGAACAGTTCCACTAAGGTTCATCTCGTGAGAAAGCTGGGTGACAGTCTTGCCCTTTCCAAAGCTCAGGCTACACCCTGATGAGGTCAGTAACTGAGGGCTGTTCTCAGTCCTTCAGGCTTCGGTACAAGAGTGCTTCCACTGGCTTTCAAAAGCTCTGGGTCTCATACCCCAGCCGAAGGCCCTCTCCTTCCTGTTGACCTATGGAAGGGACTAAGTCCAGAAGGTTGAACAAACTCCAACAAACAAAACATGCTGCTCTTGCCAGGTATCACCCAGACAGCACCAGTGAGCAATACCAGAGGGGTGCTGTGTGATGGTTTTTGTTTTTTGTTTGTTTGTTTGTTTTGGTTTTGTGAGACAGGGTTTCTCTGTGTAGTCCCTGACTGTCCTGGAACTCACTTTGTTGACCAGGCTGGCCTTGAACGCACAGAGATCTACTTGCCTCTGTCTCCAAGTCCAGGGATCAAAAAAGTGCACCCCCATGCCTTGCTTAGCTCACTGAGTCTCTAGCCTTTTTTTATGTTGGTATACTCACTGGTTATAGACCTTAGAAAGGTTAACAAAAATCAGAAAAGATTGACATATTGTGCTGACTGTTGTTGATTGTCAACTTGACCACATCTGGAATTAACTAAGACTCAGGTGGCTGTGGCACACCCATGAGGGATTTTTCTTAAATCATTTGAAGTGGGAAGCCCCACCTTTAATCTGGGTCTTTTGAGGTGAAAATGTACACCTTTAATCAGGGTCACACCTCCTGCTGGAAGCCTATAAAAAACATGAATGAAGGAAGCTTTAGTTCTTGGCCTGCTTGCCCTCACTCTTGCTGGCAAATCCATCCCATCACTGGCATTAGAGCCTCCTTCTTCATGATCCCATTGTATACTGAAGACCAGCGGAGACATCGAGCCTCATGGACTGAGCAACCACGAGATTCTTAGACTTTGTGTTGGTAGAAAGTCATTGTTGGAATAGCTGGATGGACCACAGACTGCAATCCACTCTCATAAAACCCTGTGTGTGTGTGTGTGTGTGTGTGTGTGTGTGTGTGTGTGTTCATTCGATTGGTCTTGGTCCTCTAGAGAACCCTGACTAATACACATACATATATGCACACATTTCCCCCCATATTCTGCTTATAATAAGCCCATGAATAAATGGTAACAAAATCAACTAGAGGTCGCCTTTCTTCGCTCACCTTCCTTAGCAGCCGAATCGCCTTTCTGAGCTCTCCTCTGGCAAAACAGATGCTGCCCATATTGTAAAAGGTCTCGGCTACTTTTTCACCACAGTCACCATAGATGCCAGAATTCAGTGTACACATTAGCAGTCTGTAAGCCTCCTAGGGGGTAAAAATTCAAAATAAAATTAGCCATGCCTATGCTGCGGATATAGTGAAAGGTCCTTTTCCCCACAATGACACAATCAGTCAGGAGCAGTCAGTGACGCCAACTCTCCCAAGTACTCTACCATATGCTGAGTTAATGTTCCCGCTGATAGTTGATGCCAATTAATTCACACACACACAGTACCAGCTAATCTTCAGGCTGTTCTATGGGATGGGAGCTATCGCTGTGCTTTCTTTTCAGAGAATGGAAAGAGGCCTAATAAAAGCTCAACTCTTTTGCAAGATGGCTTTGGCCACAGAGTCAGGATTCCATGCCAGCCTAAATTCCATGTTTCTTCCACTTTTTAAACTTTCAGAAAAGCCCGCGAATAGCAGAATCAAACTCATAAAATTTCTACCTAGATTCACAGTGTTTACCACTTTTCCACATTTATTTTATTGCTATTTTCTTAGATACATGTATATATGAAGATGGGTAGTTATGCAAATATTGTTATTGAAAATCAGTTATATACCGGGCAGTGGTGGCACACACCTTTAATCCCAGCACTTGGGAGGCAGAGGCAGGCGGATCTCTGTGAGTTCGAGGCCAGCCTGGTCTACAAGAGCTAGTTCCAGGACAGGCACCAAAACTATAGAGAAACCTTGTCTCGGAAATCAAAAAAAAGAAAAAAAAAGAAAAGAAGAAAGAAAGAAAGAAAGAAAGAAAGAAAGAAAGAAAGAAAGAAAGAAAGAAAGGAAAGATAGAAAGAACCCACTGATTAAATCTCACTGTACCACACACCCATCCATCCATAGCCGGTGGATATTCAGGCTGATCGCACTTTCTTGCTGTTGTGAAACAAACAGCAATGAAGGCACATATGCAAGTATCTCTGTGGTAGGACAGGTAGACCACTTCCGGGCATATGGCTGGGTCGTGCGGCAGTTTTAGTTTTCCATTTTTGAGATGCCTCTGCACTGATTTCGACCAGCAGTAGGCAACGGTTCCTCCGTCAACATATCACTGCCAGCATTTGCCGCCATCTGCTCTCTTGATTTCTAGAAATTTCTTTTCTTGATTTTGTAGCTGTTTACACTCAGGTGAGATGGAATTTCAATGAGGCTTTAATTTGCGATTCTCTGGTGGCTACAGACATTAGCCACTTTAATACACATTTATTGGGTATCTGTACTTCTTTAGAGGACTGTTTGTTCAGGACATTGTGCAGTTTTCTTTCACCCTCCCCTTGTGTGTCTAGTGTTTGCACTTCTTTATATATTCTAGGTATATCTGTTTCTAAACATGCAGTATTTAGAAAGAGTGAAGAGGCTTAGTTATTCAGTTCCTGCTGTACTCTCATGAATTATGTATGGCACTGCCTAATTACCCATTTTCGAATGTATAAACAAAACATTTCTTTAGTACTAAGTTGAACATATAATCATCATTTTTATGTGCTGTATTGAAGCAAATAGTTTACATATTTTAATATCTTAATAGTTTTGAGCGTTTAAAACATGAGTGTGCTGTATTTACCTCATTTCTACTCTTCATTCTCTCCAACTTCTTCCACACAGCCCCTCTCCCATACACATTCCCTTCTCAAGTTCATGACCTCTTCCATATGTACATGGATTTAGGGGCCACCATGTAGGCTTGACAACATATTAGGGGGTTCACCCCTGAAGAAAACTTGGTTTTCCCTCCCTCTTCAGTCACCGACAGCCTGTAGGTCTTCATCTGGGGATGCACCTTGTGAACGTTCCCCTGGTTGGCACGTCCACTGGTATGGTCGTATGCGGGTTTTATTGTTGGGAGTTCAAGGGTGCAGCCTGCATGTTCTGACCAGAGAAACCACCTCACAGCAGTCCTCCTGGTCCTCTGGCTCTTACAACCTTTCTATTTCCTCACTTGCAATGCTTGTAATGCTCCCCGAGTCTTAGGGGTTGTTGAATGATACATATTTAAGGCTAACTACTACTACTTTTCAGCAAACAATGCCAATAGTTCAGGAATGTCAAAACTCTATGCTTTTGCATTTTTCAGAATAAGAAAGTGTAGATATAGTTGAAAGATGTCTCTGTTAATTTTTCTCAGTATTCAAAAATAATTGACCTACCTAAGTAAATTTATTTCTAAGTATGTCCTCTTTTTTTATACTCATGTACTTGGCATTATTTTCTTTACTCTTCAGATTTTCCATTAATAGTGCAGAGATACAAAACCCATTTTTTGTGATTTTATCTTTTAAAATTTGTTAAACTTACTAGGTGTGTGTGTGGGGGGAGAGAGAGAGACATCTTTAGGACTTTCATATAACATTTCATCATTCTGAAGAGATAATTCAGCCTCCTTTTCTAATTTGAATACTGTTTGTTTCTATTTCCAGACTAATCACTTGATACTTTCAACACAACGTTAAAATGAAGTATTGAGAGTGGACCTTCTTGTCCTATCCCTACTCTATGACACTCAGAGAAAAAGCTTCCAGTTTCCCCCCACAGAGTCTGATACCAGCATGGGCTTTTCATATGTTGATGTAGGAGAGTTTCTATCTATCTGTTGCTTTCATTGGTTAATTAATAAAGAAAACTGCCTTGCCTAATAGGTCAGAAAATAGGTAGACAGGAAAGACAGAACTGAATTCTGGGAGGAAGAAAGCAGGGTCAGGAGAGCTGCCTGCCATGAAGCTGCCAGGTCAGACATGCTGAATCTTTCCCGGTAAGCTATGGCCTCATGGTGCTACACAGATTATTAGAAATAGGTTGAATAAATATGTAAGAGTTAGCCAATAAGAGGCTAGATATAAAGGGCCAGGCAGTGTTTAAATGAATGCAGTTACCGTGTAATTATTTCGGGTGAAGCTAGCTGGGCGAATGGCAGGAAGCAGCCCACTGTTCCATCTACAAATGGCGCCCAAGCTAGCCAAGATCCGGGCAGAATGCAGCCCGCTCCTTCCTTTTACAATATGTGGTCTTTCTTAGGTTGTGGAAATTTCCTTCTGTTCTGGTACTCTACAAGGAGCTTATAACTCACACCTGGCTTGGAAGTAGGTTAAAGAATTCCTTTTCAGAGCAGAAGATGTACAATCAAACTACACATAAGCAACCTCATGAAATAGTTGTTGAGCGCCTACTATGTGCTAGTTACTGCTTGACACACTGGGCGTAACTGGGTACACACTGGGTAGTGAACAAAGTAGACAACAGTTCCTGCCCTCAGGGAGCTTCCTCTCCAGACGGCAGAGCTATTGCTCACAGTCCTGCTTTGTAGCAGATTAGAACTTAATTGTGCTCAAGGTGCTTTTTTTTGTTATTTTGTTTTTTGTTTTTTGTTTTTGTTTTTGTTTTTTGTCTGTTTCCAAGAGTTCACTATTCTAGAGAGCACACAGTTTTAGAAGAGGAGGGCTGTGAAGCACTTTGCGTGTGCAATTTTATTATGAACAAGATTGTTGTGGAATATTACTTTAACTGGGCAAAGATGTGTTATATTTGTTTATGCTGTATTTGTTTAACTATGTAAAGATGTGTTGCATTTGTTTCACTTTGCCTGCCTAAGGCACCTGATTGTTCTAATAAAAAGCAGAATGGCCAATAGCTTAGGCAGTATAAGGCCTCACCCTTTCTGAGGAGTGGATGGGGCATAGGGTAGGGAGAAGGTGGGAGGAATGTCTGGACTGGAGGGAGAGGGAACTGGGATTGGTGTGTAAAATAAGACTGTTTTAAAAATAAAAAAGAATAAGCTATTAAAGGCTGAAAAACTCATCTTTGAAAGTAAAATTATAGACCTGAGATTATTCTATGGCACTGAGATTCAAAATTAACCTTCTGAGCTATTAGAAAATGTCACAGTCACTCTGTTTCTTTCATTTTTACAAATATTAGTTAATAAATGGTGTAGGAGGTTCTTCTGTCTGTGTGTTGCTTTCATTGGTTTAATAAAGAAATTGCCTTGGCCTTTTGATAGGGCAGAACTTAGATAGGCAGAGTAGACAGAACAGAATGCTGGAAAGAAAGGCAGACAGAAAGCCAACATGGAGCCGCCAGGTAAGACATGCTAAATCTTTCCCGGTAAGCCACAACCTCTTGATGACATACAGATTATTAAAAATGGATTAGATTAAGATGTGAGAGTTAGCCAATAAGAGGCTACAGATAAAGGGTCAGGCAGTGATTTAAATGAATACAGTTTCTGTGTGATTATTTTGGGTGTAAGCTAGCTGGGCGGCCAGGACAAAAAATAGGCCCGCATGTTCCTCTTACAAATAAAAACATCATTAGTTGTAAAAATACTTATATGTGGCATAAAGGAAGCTTTTATTAATGAAAAGAAATAAATCCTTAATCCTAGGCTTATAAATTCATTTTAAACTAGTTATATGGCAGAGGAGATCATGTAAAATCTCTCCAAGTGTTCCCACTTGTCTGAGGAAGCATAAGATCTCATAACACAAAAAGTTCTTCACTGTATTCAAATACATAGAGCTTAGGTCATAACCTCCTAAGCAAAAGACTTAGACTAATGGGGTCATTAAATAAAAATGTCAGTATCTGTGCTGGTTGTTTTCAATGTTAACTGGACACAAGTTGGAGAGGAGGGAACTTCAACTGAGAAAAAAATACTTCTATACATCAGCTGTGGGTCATTTTATTAGGGATCAATGGGGGAGGGCCCAGTCCATTATGGGTGGTACCACCCCTGATCTGGTGGTCTTGAGTGTAAGAAAGGCTGAGCAAGCCAAGGGGAGCAAGCCAGTAAGCAGTACTTCTCCATGGCCTCTGTATCAGCTCCGGCCTTCAAGTTTGTCCTACGTAGGTTTCTGCCCTAACTTCCCTCAGTGATGGACTGTGATGTCGAACTGTGAGATGAAATAAGTCCCTTTCTTCCCAATGTTTTATATGGACTTGGTGCTCCATCACAGGTCTAGAACTCATAACTGAGACAGCACCTAAGGCACTTTACAGAAGTTAAATGTGAAGATGAGGTTGTGTCTAGTGAGCGATGAAGGTGAGACTGAAAGGGAAACACAACCGTGAAAAAAAAAAGAAAGAAACCAGCAGTTAGATCCAAAGGTAGTGGCTAGGTTTGATTCCAATTAGTAAATTTATAAAGGTGGAGCTTGAAATGTACTGGATTTGAAGGACTTCACGTATTATCACAAAAGCAAACTATTTTATCAATATCATAAGCCGCAGCAGTCCTGTGTGTGACATCTAGTTTCATCTGACACTTGTGTGAACTCTAGTTTCTGAACTGTGAGACAAAAAAAGGCCATCTATCTATATCTAACAAACAAAACAGAAGTCATGTTTATGACTTGGTAACCTTACATGATTTTCGCCATTTTGGAGGAGCCATGTACAAAAGTCTTCAATGGTGGTGAGACTCTCATTGTTGTCAGAGCCCAGTATCTGATATGCACTAATACTCCTTATATAATATATCTCAACGGCATCTGAAAAAGAGGAGAGGATTATTTAAAGCAAATTTCAAGCCTTCGTAAATGTCTATTATCAGCTTGGGTTCCTTCGGCATCATCATGCTTAAAGTCTGTGCCTGCTCCTACCTCAGGTTTCACAAAACCCTTCAAAAAGATCAAGACAGGATCAGATAGAACCAGACAATAGGCTCATGATGAAACACACGTATGGATTTCAAGTGGGGGGAAAGGGCATCAGTCCAAATAGTCCTGTTATCTAAAAGGCCCAAATAATTCTCATATTAGACACTCAGGGACATTAAAAGACGATACCTCTAGCTAAAACTTAGATATTTTGTGTTTATATATAATGTATGTGTATATATTAAAGATATATAATAATATCAGTGTATGTATGTATATAGAGATATGATTTGACAAACGGGTCCTTGAAGGAAATGCCAGCATTAAAGGTGGAGCAATGGGTGTTACCATTAAAAGTATGGTAATACTTTTATATTATGGTAATACTTTTAATAAAAGTATTAAAAGTATAAAAGTATTAACTCAGAATGCCTTTTAAGGGACTGTGATGGTTAGGAGCTGTGACTAAAACCGGGGCCCTCCAATGCCTGCTTTACCATTCTCTCTTTTATTCTATTTTTTTCACAAAACATATCTTGTTCATATTCCCTTACCCCCCTCCTCTTAGGTTCTCCCCTCTTCCCCATCTCCCTATCCACCTTAAAAAAAAAACTCTCTCAAAAACTAAACAAAAACACTAAAATAAAAACAAAGAAAATTAACACATAAGTACCAAAACAAAACAAAAAGCACACGATACACACAAGGCCACAGTGTGCATTTTGCATTGGTCAACTACTCCTGGGCACGGAGCCCGCCCTACAGCGTGTGCTTGCCTTCTACTGTCAGCGTATTTGGCAGTTTCTCTAGCTGAAATGTCATATCCATGAACGACACATCGAGAGTAAAAATGAAGGAGGATGTACTGGTCTTCTTCCTTTTAACTCTGAGATAAAACTGCCCATAACCTTGATAGATGCAGGAATGTTGCTGTGGGTAGCTCCATGGCCATCATTCCAGTTTCCCAGAGGGGCTGTCCACCGTCTTCTTGGTGGCTGTGATGGCATGGAATGTAGCCATGAGTACGTCAAGTATGCCAAGTAGTCAAGTCACGGACTGTGGTCAGGTAGGGCCTCGGCAACTGGCAGCACAAAAGGCCTTGCTGACAACCTCAACTTGTCATGCTTCTCATGGCTCACACTCATCACAGACTTGTGCGCAGCATCAGAAGAGCCAAAGGTGTTTTCTCTTTTGGCCCAACCTTACCAGTGGGCCCAAACTTTTCCATGATTGTGAAGACTCCAGTAGACTCCACAACATACATGCAACTACCCCACTTGATGTTGTCAGGATTACAGTCCTGGAAGATAGAAATGGCCTTCCCATGAGAAGTTTCCTTGTTCTCAGTATTGACTGTGCCGCGTAACTTGCTGTGGGTAGATTAATACTGGAGCATGAAGACTATGTCATTGAGGTCAGTTAAAGACATCATCGATGACAATATCCACTTCCTCACAGCTGAAGGCAACCTGAGTGATCAAGTGTCCAGTATGGCCAAATCCGTCCATTTCTACCTTCACCATAATGTCTCAAGGTGGGCATTGCATGTGGCTGTCTGTGGAATAGGAAGAGCTGAAAGTCCTTCTTATGGTTTTTTTTTTATTACATCTTAAATTTTGTTTTTGAGGGTGCACAAAAAGGGTGGTAAGGATAGGTATTTATGTGCCACGGTGCACACACGGAGGTTGGAGCACAGCCTTCAGACATCAGTTCTTCCCTTCCGCTGTGCAGAGTCTGGGGACTGAATTCAGGCATCATGATGGGTGGTAAGCACCTTTACCTGGCCATCCTCCATCCTTCCTTCCTCCATCCTTCCTTCTTCCATAACATTCTTATGTAATAGAAATTATGTTGAACTGCTATTATTCTCTCTTCAAATGCTAGGTAGAATTCCACAATGATATTGTCTGCACCTGAAGATTTTTTCTTAGAAAGGTTAACCACAAATTTATTTTTAATCCTTATGAGGCTATTAAGCTACTTGTTCATCGTGGATAAGTTTTAAATTCTTTGTACAGGACTTTAAATGAAACAAAGTTTTAGATCTTTTTGTAACTAAGTCTTCAATCTCTTCTTTCATAGTATTACCTTTATACATTCTTAGAAAACCTTAGGTCTTGAGTTTAAATTTTAGTTTTTTTCATTTTAGAACTTATTTTCTCATAGCTACTTTTTATTTTCAGTTTGAATGCATAAAGTTTTAATCTAGCTGAAGTTTAATTTAGTTAATGATAAAACTTGAATATATACAATTTCTAAAACTTTTTTTATTTTATTGTATTGGACTACATAATGCTTCTTTTATGCAAACCTTTGATGCCTCATATGGTGCTACTCTTGATTGTTAACTTTATGTTATTTAGAATCACCATGGCAACAAATCTCTGGATAAGTCTATGAGGAATTAGCTGAAATGAGAAGTCCTGCCTTAAGTAAGGCCAGTGTCCCTCTGTGGGCTGAGATCCAGGATGAATTAAAAGGAGAAGGGGAGCTGAGAATGGGCCCTCATCAGGGCGCTTCTTCCTGAATGTAAACCAATTGCTGCCATTACACCACACATTCTCGGCTCTGATGGGATGTACTCCCCGGAACTGGTAGCCAAAAGAGACTCTTCCTCCCGTCACTTCATCAGGTATAGTAATGCAGTAATGAGACATGTGGCTAACGTATCTTGCTAGCCTCCCTGTCCATCAAGTCACCTGCCCTCCCAGCAGTCCCCTTTCTTAGACAGTTTTATTTCTCATTTTATGTCCTTTGTACATATTTCTGCAAATGACATAGGTTCATTCTTCTTTATGGCTGAAAACATTTCACTGTGTATGTGTGTGTTTTATCCATTCCTATCCTAGGTTGTTTCATAATTAGTAAACACCAATGTGCAAGTAACTGTTTACACTCCCACTGATAGTGTGTAAGAGTTTGCTTTGTTTCACATTCTCTGATTTGTTGTTGTTTATTTTTTGGTTTGGTTTGGTTTTTTGTTTTGTTTTTTGAGGCAAGGTTTCTCTGTAGCTTTGGTGCCGGTCCTGAAACTAGCTCTTGTAAACCAGGCTGGCCTTGAACTCACAGAGATCCACCTGCCTCTGCCTCCCTGAGTGCTAGGATTAAAGGTGTGTGCCACCACTGTTCCCACTGTCCAACTGGTCCACATTCTCACCAGCATTTTTTCTTGTTTGTTTGATGGTTTTAGTTACTTTTGTAATGAAAATTCCTAGCTTCTTTCATTGTTTATCTCTATACAATCTTTATATATATATAAATATATATATTTATATATATATGGATATATGTATATATACAATGCGTGCTTAGAAAGGCTTTTCTCTAAGTTTAATTTTAGTTCTTTCTATTTTAGATATTTATTATATATTATATATTATATTTATCATATATTGTTATATATATATAAAATGAGATTTATTATAAAGTTTTATCTACAAATTTTTTATTTTCAGTTTTGATGGACAAAAGTTGAATCTAGCTGGAGTTTGATTTAGCTAATTACAAGGCTTGTAGATACACATTTGAAAACTTGACTGATTTAAGGGGGGGGCTACACAAGCCTGCTTTCCTGTGAATTCGGCCTGGGGTGATGGAATCTCAACTTAGCCTCTGTGTGCTCTTCTCTGTTTCTGATGTTGAATTACTTCAGGTTTATCGGCTATTGTTGTCCACTTTTGTAACGGTTGCTGCCTTTAAGCTACAGCTATCCGAGTCAGCAAGTGCCCCTCAGCAGTGTGGCAATAAGAGCCACAGTCTGAGGAAATTCCGTTCCCTACTAGGAGAACTTATCTAAATCTCTTTCCCACTAATGAACTCAAGATTCAAAGGTTGAGGTAGAATCCTGCTTCCCAGAGAGGCTGAATACCAAGCTGCTCACATAGCTCACCTCCTCGCGACCCCCAAGAAGTCCTCATGGTGCTTTTCCTAGCCCCTCCTTATAAACCTTTCTCCACCTGGCTCCTCCCTACAACTTCCTGTCAGCTAGTTGCTTACGCAACCTCCGGACCACAGGTGAATTTTATTTAATCAAACACATCTTTGCATCATTAAGCAAATGTTCCAGAGCACAAACAAACGTAACACATCCTAAAACATATCCCACAACAGGCCATCTGGAAGGCTACTACGCCTACCACTAACCAGGGCCACAAGGTTATTTGCATTTCATCTCCTAAAAACTACTTGCTCATTTCATTATCTCATTTATTGACTCCTTTTCGGGGTTGTTTTTTGTTTGTTTATTTGTTTGTTTGTTTGTTTGAGTTCTTTTTATATTCTAGATATCACTCAGATGTAGAGCTAGCAGAATTTCCTCCTGTGCTGTAGGCTGCCTCCTCGATGTTTTCCTCCGCTGTGCAGTGGTTGAATTTCGTGAGATCTTATTTGTCAGTTGCTGGTGTTGTTTCCTGAGTGACTGCAGTCATGCTCAGAAGGTGCTCACTGCACCAACAATGAAGTGTGGCCCCTGCTTATGTCTCTATCACTTGGGGAATTTCAAGCCTCATCTTTGGTTTGGTGATCACATTCGGAGCTGATTTTCTTACAGGATAAGAGATAAGATCGAGTCCCAAGCTTTTACATGTGGTAATCCAGTTTTTCTGGCACCTTATTTTGAAGAGCGTGTTTCTTTCCCCAATGTACATGTTTGACATCTTTTATTTAATATTAAAAAGAAGCATGTAGGGCACTGACAAGATGACTCAGTGGTAAAGGAACTTGCTTCCAAGTCTGATGACCTGAGATTAGATTCAACCCCCAGATCTACATGGTAAAAGAAAAGAACTGACTTTTTAATTTTCACATATGCACCATGGCATTCACACATGCAAGCATATCTATTTGATAGTAAGCACATGGGCACACACACAGAATAAATATTATTTTTAATTAAATATTGAGAAAAATGTTTTCTTGAAATTGAGGTTTTTCTCATATAAAAAGCTAAATATTCCTCACATTTACAAAAATATCAAATTTCTTATAACTGTAAAGTATGAAAATTTCTTATACATGGAATTCACACACCATGGGTATATATAAATCTTATAAGGAAAAAAATTATTCAATGAAAATTTAGACTTATGAAGTCTTTAATGAACATTTGATGTTGAGAAAACAAAATAAAAAACTTTAAAGTACAAAACAATACTCGGTAACATAGGAAAACAAGAGGAGAAAATAGTATGGAGATTCCCTCTCCAGTTCTCTCCCTCTTCCCTTTTCTCCAGTCGGAAAATAGCCTGCATCATCATGGATTAATTTTACAAGCAGAAGGAAAAGACATTTTACATTCTGCACAAACCCCAAATTCCTCTGACAGGGCAGACCCCACCCCATCGTCTATGGAGCCAAGACAGAGCAAAGGTCCTTTCATGATAGACGCCGGCATCCTTTAGGCTGCCCAAGCCAGCACTGTCCTCCCTCACAGTTCTTCTGTCTCTCTGCCACCCAGTTTCACACGAACAACCTTGGACAGAGAGGTCTTGCTGGAGGATCCACTAGACACTTAGCTTCCCTCTAGAAATCCTAGAACATTATCTCTGAACACATGTCGCACCATTTCTTCCTGCCACATCATTTTCTCTTGGAAGCCAGAAGAAAGGCGTTAAAGCTGAGTGCAGGGAGAAAAGCGTTGATGCTTCCCCTTCTCCTGAGCCCTCGCGGTAAGCCATACTTACAGTGTGCATGAGATCTGTAAGTGTGGCAGACATTCTAAGGGAATACAGGAAAGAGAAAATAGTTGGTTTGGTACTCAATTAATCTGGGAGGATATCATCAGGTGTTACCTCATGTGTTATTATGGAATTGATATTTTTACAAAATCGTGACCAGCTTTATCTTTCCATTATGTGAGTAGCTACCTATAATCTTTTATTTATATATGGATCACTCATTAGTTTGCTTTTCATGTCACCGGGGAAGGACGGTAGATGCAAGATCACCTCTTCCACATACCTCTGTGCTGGGATTCTCCGGACATGGCATAAGCTTTAGCCAGTAAAGCACTCGCCTCGGCAGTTTGGGGGCTGATTTCAGAAAACGAAGAAACACAGATAGAATAGGCCTGGAAAAGAGAAAACCATGACAAGATCAGTCCTGTTCCTTTAACTCTAAGCTCCTGGGTCAGATTTTCTGAGTTCAAATCTCTGCTGCCACTCGTTAGCCATGTAACTTCAGCTGAATTAGCTGTAACTCTGTGCTCCACTTTTCTGATCCTTAAAGGGAGACAAAATGATGATACCTCCTTTAAAAGTCTTTGTGGGTTAAATGAAATACATGCTCAAGCACACACAATAAAAGCAATCTATAATTTTTAACTCTTAGTTTTTGGTGTTGCTATAAGCATTGAATATTCATTACTTTCTTCATTCTGATTTGCTTGTTTTTTTGCTTGTTTATTGATTGGTTGTTTTTTGTTTGTTTGTTTTTGTTCTTGTTTGTTTGTTTTTTTCTTTTTTTGAGAGAGAGAGAGAGAGAGAGAGAGAGAGAGAGAGAGAGAGAGAGAGCGTTTCTCTGGATAGCCCTGACTGTCCTGGAACTCCCTCCATAGACCAGGCTGGCCTTGAACTCAGAGATCCACCTGCCTCTGCCTCCGGAATGCTAGGATTAAAGATGTGCACCACCACTGCCTGGCTTGACCACAGTTTTAAGAGAGCCTTGAATTCAAAACTCACATCTTTCCCTGCAGGCAGTGACTCTGGCACCGAAGCAGATCCTCCCATGCTTCTCCCCGTTGTCTGGTGTCTATAATCTTGGGCTGTCTAACTGTTCTCCATGCTTTTTCTTAACTCTATGGGTTTCAGCATAAGACTGTGGGGCTGTGCTACTATTTTTCCAATTTCTGAAATCCAGCATATCTATACATCTGTGGTGAAAGCAGATTTCTGACAGCATTGCCACGTTTTATTCAAAAGAGAGAAAGGTGAATTTAACTAACAGTGCAAGCACATTTTAAATGGAAGTGCCTTAAATGGTTTTCATACCACAGGCTCAATATTTGTTCCTTTGTTTTGGTTTTCCCCGAATATTTGTCAATTAGCTACCTCCAAGGGAGATATACTTTTATTTGTTTAACCTTAAATTTGGCAAGAAAATCAGCTGCAGTGAAGTTAAAGGGCACCCGACATAACAAAATACCACGGGTTTTACATAAGAGGCCATTCTTAGAATTACTATTACTGTGAACAGACACCATGACAACAGCAGCTTTTATGATGGAGAACATTAATTGGGGCTGGCTTACAGGTCAGAGGTTTAGTCCATTACTGTCACAGCAGGAAATATGGTGGCATGCAGGCAGACAGGTGCTGGAGAAGGAGCTGAGAGTTCTACATCTGGATCCACAGGCAACAGGAAGTAAACTGTCTATCACATTATGTGTGGCTTGAGCATATATGAGACCTCAGAGCCCACCTCCTCAGTGATAGACTTCCTCCAACAAGGTCACACCTAATCCAACAAGGCCACACCTCCTAATAGTGCTGCTCTCTATGGGCCAAGCATTAAAAATTATTATTTATTATTGTCACTATTATTATTTGTTTGTGCATGCAAATATATATGTATAGACACATGTGGAGGTAAGAGGGCTATTCTGTGGAATCTACTGTTTTCTTCCACTGTCACATGGGTTCCAGGGATCAAACTTTGGTCACCACTCTTCCCTTTTTGTCTTCTTCAAGTCAAGTTCAGCTGCCCCTTTGCGTTTTTCCTTTTGGGTTGGACATAGGTTTGGCTTCCTCCTAGCACTAACAGAGATGAGAGGCTTAGGAGAGGATGTGTCATTTCCCAATTAGGTATCAGAACACATATGTTCAATAGAGTCAGGGGCCTCTGGTCAGGTTTTTTAGGTTTGAGGTTGTTGTTTGGAGGAAAGTCAAGGTTAACATGTGTGGTAATTTGAATGTAATTGGCCCCCATAATTTCATTGGTTGTGACACTATTAGGGGGTATAGCTTTGTTAGAGTGGGGACACCTTGTTGGAGGAACTGTATCACTATGGGGTTGAGCTTTAAGGCTTCCTATGCTCAGGGTATCCCCGAGAGTCTCAATCAACTTCCTGTTACCTACAAGATGTAGGCCTCTCAGCTATTCCTTCAGCACCACGTCTTCTTGCATGCTGCCATGCTTCCTTTCATGATGATAATGGACTGACCCTCTGAAACTTAAGTGACTTCCCTCAATTAAATGTTTTCCTTATAAGAGTTGCTGTGGTCATGATGTTTCTTCACATCTATAAAAACCCTAACTAAAACAACATGGAACCAATTCTGCCCCTTAAGATGTTAGGGTTAAAGTAAAGAACCAATCTTATCTCCTTGTTATGAGAAGCAACTGGGCCTGGACTCAAACAAGGCCACCTTGCCAAAGAACCAACCTGCTGCAAATACTGGATGGCTTGCTCATGGTTCTTCCTCAGCTGCTCAATCTGAGCGACTTCTTCATACAGACTAATCAGATCTGATGTGCCATGGCCCTTGGCAATGATCACATTGCCAATGGCCTTTTCAAAATATGCCAGAGCGAGGTTCATCCTGTGCATGGCCAAGGAGGCTCTACAAGAAAAGGAAGAAGGTGAAAAGTCACACAGACTTTTCTTTGCAGACACATAAGGAATTAATTTCAAGAAGAATTTGTCTTCATAGACAAATCATCTGGACGGTTGGCTCAAAATCCAGCATTGCTTTAAATAAACTCCCATTATTCTGAATTTTGCCCACAAAGTCACACAAACTACCAGCATTTGCCTAACCCATGAATATGTTTGATTTTCATACAATTCCTATAAAAATGGGAAAATGTCACCCAGAAATTTATAAAGTGGGATAATTTATTCATAAACACTGACTGTGGATCTTGTGATACCAGTGAAGGTGGGGTTAAACACCAGCCCTAATGACTCAGCAAAAAGCTTGTCATTGCCAACATTGGACATACACTCACAACGCAGAAGCCGGAGAAGTCATGTAAATTTGAGAACAGCCTAAGCCACAGAGTTGAGTTTAACTCAACAAAGAGGAACTCAGGGCTGCCTATTTGTGACTTGCACCTGAAGAGAGCCAAGGCCTGCCAATTAGCCATTCTGGCAGACTGATCTTATCATGAAGATGAGGATGAGGGATAAAAGGCACTGGTCGATTATCTAATCAATCTTTCCGACAAATAATCTCTTATATCAACCAGACAAGTGCTTCTCTTGACCAAAAGTATATCTCTTGTTCTTCAGACATCAAGAATGGCTCCCAGCAAGAGCTTTGAGGGAAATATTAGCAAGTTGTTTGACCGTGACAATCTTGCCTTAGTATGTCTACCCTTCAATGGAAAAAGGCATCACTACAATCAAATCTAGCAGCATGGAGCAGAAAATAAGCTACAAATTCAGATGTTTCAATGACAAGCCAAGTTCTTAAACTCATTCTGTCACCTCCAGTTAATCTTTCTCTGCCTTGTTTTCTTATCTGTCAAATAAAACTATTAAGAATGCCTACCATTATAGGTTACAGCCAAGCCTGAGTGAAAAAAAATTCCAAAGCACTCAGAACAGGGTGTGCTATGTGTTATACCTAGTAAGCATTCTAACACTTAGTACACACACAAAACATACTCAAAGACTGTGGTGTGGATGAGTAAAATAAACACTGGAACTGAATGAGAAAGGAAACATGGGCTTGTTTCACGTAAAGCCGAGCACTTTAAGTACAGACCTTGGGGATAGCAGAAGACATTCACCAGAATCTAACCATGGCCCGATGGACTTGAGTCAAAGTCTGACTTTGTTCTGAACATTCCAACATGTCCCCACCATGTCCCGTTTGACTTCTAGAGTCCTGGCTGTTTTGAGGAGGCAGATGTGACGCACGTGTTTCATTTTCTTACCATTCAGCCATCTGCCCTCCCGTGCCAAGTGCTTATAGCTTTTAAAAAGAGATTTCTCTCCAGGATGTGAAGATATTTGAAAAACCTGTGGAGCGGTAAACCTTCATCATTTCTTTTTCCTGATAATCTGATGGGCCCACTCTCCTTTCTATATACTCAATTCTCAGAGGATCCTTAATTCAACTCAGAAGTTCCCAGTCTTGCTCTGGCTGGAACACACCCCGTGGGCTTTCCTTAAGCGCGCATGTCTGTCCAAAGCTCTGGTAGTCGTCTTCAGTGTTCTTTCCTTATCTGCTAAGATGCCACACTTGATGGCAAACGTAAGAGGCAACTCAGAAAAACAAGCCAATCCCGAAGTAAATGCCAAAAGAGTTATGGTACTGCAGGGCAAAGGGAGGCGAGCTCAGCTCACAGATCCGCTATGTCTTAGTGAAGCCACCTGCCAGCAGCAGCGCCCAGTCCTCCTAATGATGCCACCCCAACTCAGTTCCTCATGGCACGGGGACCCCGAATCATAAGATCATGGGTCTGTTATTTCATAACTGTTAGGAATCATAATGTAAATATCTGACAATGCAGGATGTGTTTGCGACCCCAAGGGGTCACAACCCACAGGTGAGAACCACTGCCTGCTACCAATTGCTCAGACTCGGCTCAGTCTCCCAGCTCTCTGAGGAAACCACAATCTTACTGACCACCTTAATGGTGGTTGTAAGGATTAAACATGACAGTGTACCGTAAACTCATAGAACTCACTGATGTAGGTGGGTCTTGTTTCTATGTGTTGCTTTCATTGGTTAATTAATAAAGAAATTGCTTGGCCTGATAGGTCAGAACATAGGTAGGCAGAGTAGATAGAACAGAATGCTGGGAAGAAGGGAAGTGAGGCAGACGCCATGACTCCCTGACCCAAGATGGATGCAGGATAGAATCTTCCTGGTAAGCCATGACCTCGTGATGATATACAGATTATTAGAAATGGGTTAATTAATATGTGAGAGTTAGCTAATAAGGTGCTGAAGACAATGGGCCAGACAGTGTTTAAATGAATACAATTTCCATATAATTATTTCGGGTGTAAACTAGCCGGAAGCCGGGCAGTGGGAACGTGGCCCACGGCTCCTTCTACAACTCACAGTTGATACATATGACTTCTATTATCCGTTGAACTCTGGGCTATGTGCTCTGAACATTTCCCTCCTTTTATCAGGTCAGAGACCAAGGGGGGGAAAAACTCAGACCTCATTCACAAAATCTTCTGCTTCTTTATGACCAGATCTTACCTGCCCAAAGCAATGGTTAGGTCTTTCTCCGAGACTTGGCTTCCACCAATGCCTCCGTTGCTTAACTCTTTCAGTTCCTTCATGTTTCTGTCCGCTTTCTGCAGGTGGATATAGGCCCATTTGCCAGTGGGGCAGTCAAGGGAAATGCCAAACACACTAACGGCCACTGTACGGAGATGGCCCCTGGGGAAGCAGAGCGGCGTTTGAAAATAGGTGTTTATTTAACTGTGTTCTCTATTCTCCATGTGGATGTCATCAAGAAGGGAGAATTCTCTGGAAAAGAACACGGCCTTGGGCTTCCTATGGCGGCTGCCTGAATCCAGGTCTGGAATGGTGTCTGCGGGAACTAACGGAAACTGTAATTCATACTAGATTTCCTTTAGAGACACGGACTGCCTGACAACAGTTACTCATTTTCACCAAACTGTTTCATAGCAATGGGAAATGAGAGGAACTAATTATGCTGAAAGGGACTTTTTGGTTCATTTCAAAAATCCAAGGAAAGCAGGTTTGGGGCCAGAGGCAAATAGCAGGGAGGAAAATCCCCTTAATTCCCAAACATCCTTCCATTTCCCGAATTTCAGTCTCTGCCCACTAAGGGTGCAACAGCAGAAGACCACATATCAGCTCTACAATCTGACAGATCCAGCATAGAGGAGGGGGAAGGTGGGGAGAGAAGGGGCCTTCTGAGCTCAGAATGTCCAAAATCATTCAGGAACTCTACTTCTCTGGTCATCTCCTGAGAGGGGAGAATATACACAAATATCAAAACCACACAATGCATTTTTTGAGGACTTTTTTTGATAACACTTTGCTCTCTGGTGTCTGGAAAGGTCTGTGTATCAAGAGCTTGTATACTAGCATGATTCTACTGGGAGACCGGGGAACCCTGATGAACTGTAATCCACTCAGGGCAGATGCCCTTGATGGACATGGTGGGTTTCCAGCACCTTCCTCCTTGTTTCTCATCTCCTCTCTGACTATAAAGTCATTCCTGCGTCCGCACCTTCTTACGTGGACCTTATGGAGGACCTAGATGTTAGAACAGTTTCACGGGAGCCAGTTCCATTTTCCACCCTCCCATTTGGCACGTGGCCTATAACCTTCCTCACCAGATCCACCTGGGAAAGAAAGGATATCGGTTTTGCAGGAGCCAGGCTATCCCCAGGGTGTAGTAGAGCATGACCAGAGCTCCCAGGATTTCCTTTTTCTCCTTGTCTGGGGTTATGTTTCTCTTCCAGGTCAGCAGCGTGCCCCTGGCCGACTCAGCGTGTTTCTTGGCCTGAGATGGGAGGCCTGAGGAGGGTTACAGAGGTGTCAAAGAAGTTAGGAAATGTCAAGAAAAAAAAAAAAGACAATGCATAAGGCATGTCCCAGTAAAGGGTATTCCTCAAAGAGCAGAAGGCAGACAGTGTGGTTGTCAGGTATGGTTCCTAATTTAATGAATCACAGTATCTGTGTTTAGACAGCACTGGTCCCCGTTTCTCACCTAGGCCTAGTAAGCTGGACTCTCTAGAAGAACAGGCCCAGGAAGTGCTATTTTGAACTCCACAGATGATCTTTATGCAGTCTCCCTGGCACTGACCTGTGGACCTCAGTTTAGAAATCCCTAACTGGCAGGGGCGGGAGCTGAGCAGCCCCTCTGAAATGCTGTTGCAAATGCATGTGACCTTTTCAACTTGCAAGCTTCTCCATCTGCCATCTGAGTAGCAAATGATACTCATTATGAAAGCTGCCCCTTACCAAGCACATGAAGACATACGGGGCTAGCTTTCAGCTTTCTGGAAAATACATTCTATAAATATAAGGGGTTAGGAATGTAATTATTTCCATATGAGGTTTTTTTTTGTCCAATCCAAGATGAAGCTGGTCATACTAATTGGACACACACACACACACACACACACACACACACACACACACACAGTCCAATTCTAAGTGCAGCGAGGCCCCTCACTAGAAAAATGCAGGGAATGCCAAGTCCCAGCTAGACAGAACTGGCGGGGGTTTCCTCTTGTTTTCTAAAAAAAAAAAAAAAAAAAATTGGTGTTCCGGAGAACTTATCCAAGCTATTTGTCCCGTTAACAGAGGTAGAAGGCAGACTTGAGAACACTGCCTGTTGGATTACTGCCTCATCATCGACCCTGGCTCACATCTTTCCTTTTCCCTTGTGGAAAAAGAAAGGGGCCAGATGCCACCCTGTTCCCTTCCACTCTATGGAAAACAAGAAGCAGCGCTCACTTTCGGCCCTTGCTGCAGACATCTAGGGCTGGCAACCATGGTCATTCCTACCAAGGAGGCCTCTTGTGCCCCGAATCCTCACTTCACACCACTGATTTGTTCCTAAACTATTCTGCTTTGCCTTTGGCCTTGGAGCATGGTTTCACAGCATGAATCCAACTCAGTTTCCAACCAGGACAATCTGAAAGGATTGGCCGATGACGCCCGCAGCCCTCATATGTTCTAAATGCGCAAGACCTCCTTATTGAGTTGCAACAATAAAAGGAATAAAGGCTTCTCTGGAATGACTCTAAACCTGATCCTGAACCCAACTAGTCCCCGAAGAGCTTAACTGAAGACAGAAGTGGGCTCTGTGAAGAGGGGGCTTGGTTCTAAGTAAGCAGACTGATGAGGCTTGCAGCCTGCCCTATACAAATTCCAGGGCCCTGCTTTCAGCTTCTGGTTTACAAGCGCACAGGTGAGAAACAAGAGTCAAACTTAAAGCAACAATAGGCCTTCAATGGTGGCCAGACACTGTTATTTCCCCTAGGTGATGTTAATTCAGGGTATCTGAGGCCCACACCTGTGTCTGAGGAGAAACAGAGTTAGTAAAAAATTTATTTCCAAGACAGGGTCTTACTTTGTAGCTCTTAGCTCTGACTGTCCTGGAACTCATGATGTAGACCAGGATGACCACAGACTCCCAGGGATCTGCCTGCCTCTGCTAGGATCAGAGGTGTGTACCACTACGCCTGACTATGCCTAGTTAGCATTAGTAAAATCCTCTTACTTTTATGGGCTTCTCTTGGTCTTGACCAGTGGGTAGGATAGGTAGAATTTTGATTGACAGAGTAGTTTGCATTTGAGTAAAGCCTGTGGCCATGAAAACGAAAGTGTAGGAAAAGATAAGAAGTAGACCAATTAAAGTAAAAGCAAAGTTTGAACGTAAAGATACACAAAATAAACACTGGGTCTGTAGTATACAGAGAGAAGACAGAGTCAGGGAGATGCCAAGTAGCTGCCAAAGGAGAAAGACACTAAAACCTTTTTGGTAAGTTGCAGTCTTGTGGTGATATATAAATTAATAGAAATGGGTTAATTTAAGATATAAGAGCTAGGTAGGAATACATCTAAGCCATTGGCCAAGCAGTGTTGTAATTAATATAGTTTCTGTGTGATTATTCTGGTCTGGGCGGCTGGGAAACAAAGGTGCAGTTTACACATACTATGTAAACATTTTATGTGCATCATAAAATGTCCTTTGACATCACTATCAGTGACACCTTTAAATGACTCAGCATTTTTAATTAAAAAATACTTTCTTTTATGTAAAGGCAAAAGTTCTGCACATGTGTGTCTACATGAGACTCTTCCCAGGTCTTTCTGTGAAGGATGTCATCTGACTCTAAAATCCATGACTTCCACCCCTGTGGTTGCTCACTTGTTTTCATGTCTCTTTCCCTGTCTGATGGGAAACTTCAGCCAATCACATTCTGCTTAGGGTATGTCCCCCTGGGGCCACACAAAACAAATAAAAGATCCATGTGCGCTAGCTGCTTCCTCTCTCTTTTGCCCCCCTGCGTCCCCAGATCGCTGGAACCCCGGTTTTGTAAGTTTTTCTTTCTTCTGTTTATTAAAGCTAAATCTCTTATATTAAGCTAGTCTGGTTAATTTTTAACTACCGATCGACCACGCCCTTCACCTGTCCTCACACCACCACACTTATTCCCAGAGTCATTTTCTCTTATTGAGTAATTTATTATATCTGTCTTAACTTTGAGCATTTTTCAGCTAAGACTCTCTCAAATGCAAACTCACTTTAAGCTGAGTTGTGCTTCCTGCAGGCTAGATCATCTGTGGGAGTTTTTGTTTGTTTGTTCGTTGTTTGCTAAGCTTTGTTTTGAATTATCCTCAGTTTTGTCTGTACCAGTTTTTTTTTTTCTAATCAGAGAAATCAGGGCTTATGACTTTTACCTTTTCTGTTTTTGTAACACAACGGAGCTATGAATACCTGGACAGTTCCCAAGGACAACAAACTGACTGATTAATTTACTGTCTCACTAATAATCAGCAAAATAGCAGGAAACTTGCTGTCCACATACCATATGCTCCTTCCTGTGCACTTGGGGGACAGTTCATTATCATGAGCCAAATGCCCTGGTGGCCTCTGCCTGCCCTTGCTCGGTGCTGCGTCATCAAGCCCTCTAAAATTACCCTTCAGGGCGGTTGGAAAGAGAGTCCCACCTCTGGCATCATTAGCTTTATCTCACCTAGCGACAGCCACCTACACATTCTGCTCTAGCAAAGTTTCATGCTCCCTTAGAGACCCCATTCCACCCTCTAGTTCACCAACTGATCGACTAGGGTTTCACTATGTAGTCCAGCATAACCTTGATTTAAGATTCTCTTGTCCTAGTCTCCCAGGTGTGTGTCACCTCACCCAGCCATCCTATTTTAAAAAAACGCTTCCTCTGATGGTTTGAATAAGAATGGCCTCCATTGACTCCTATATTTGAATACTTGGTCCTCAAGAAGTGGCATGACTTGAGAAGTATTAAGAGGTATGGCCTTATTGGAGTAGCTGTGTCGTTGCTGGAGAAAGCATGTCACTGGGGTTTGGCTTTGTGTTTTTCTATTGCAATTCAAAATCAAAACATCAAAGCCAGCACCCAGATAGGCCTGGAAGTATACGACGTCAATCCCCACAGTGTGAGGCAGACAGATTTCTGAGTCTGAGGCTAGCCAGGGTTCTATAGTGAGATCCTATCTCACAAACAAACAATAACAAAAACCCTCCCACTCAATAATTCCAGTTCTCCTATCATGATCTAGTCATCAATGAAAAAGGTATCTTAGTGGTCAAATTTATCTTTGAGAATTCACCTTTTCTTCTGGGGTAGGTAGAGAAAACAAATGTCCTGTAGCCCAGGCTGGCCTTGAACTTGCTCTGTGGTTTGGTTTCTAGCTTGTGATTCTACTGCTGCTCCAGCTTCCTGCCTGTTGTAGATCTCACACCCGTGCTGTTGTGCCCTCCTCTCCAATGAACATTTTAGGATAGGTTGTTTATGACTGGAGAGTTAAAATCAAGCCAGCACTTGGCAGGTGGAGACAGGACGATCAGCAGTTCAACAAAATCCTCAGCTACGTGGTAAGTTGGAGGCAAGCCTGGGCTGCATAATACAACATCGTAAGAGGAAAAAAAATAAAAAAGAAAAGCTACAGCCAGATGAAATAGCAAACCTTGAGGCCTCATTTCCAATCTGGTTCACTGTCATCGTAAGCACCCTCTATTGTCCTTTTCTTATCTTTCTCCTATCTTTTGTCTGTTCCCCTCTTACTTATGCAGGAAGAACTGGATTCGAATGTTGCACCTCACTGTGATTCCCTTTTCCCTAAAGATGCACTCAGATATTTCCCTTATAGCACACAGAGGTCCTCCATGCTCTTTCATGAATCATTCCCATTTTGTGTGAATACACTTGTTCTCCATTGATGAATTGTTTGCTGTTTCTTTCAGTACCATAGCCAATTTTCAAAGAATAGCTTTATCCATATGTTGTAAGTATGTATTTAGGAAAGATTCCTGGGAATGCGACTTGGTTTTAAACCAGCCCTTCCTCCATAGACCCCTGAATCCTACTATTTTACCCATTTATTTAGGTTTAACTTTGGTACTAGATCCAGATAACTCAGAGAGCTTCCATCCAACTATCGCTGAGAGATTAGTTTTGCTAAAGGGATGCTTTGATATTTTCAGCAGCCTACTGGAAAATTTCCAGTGATCTTCCTTGCCTACTGTATCAATACAAGGCCCTTGACCCACATTTAAAAGCCATGCTGTTATCTGCCCAGCACAGCCTCTTTTCCAAGTTCATCTTCCTAGTCTAAACTATGGCTAGATAGCGAATCTCACCCACTCTACACAGATGCTGCACACCACACCATGGCTACATAGGGTATCTCCCTGCAGTCTAAAAGGGCGCTGCACACAAAACCATGACTAAAGAGGATATCTCCCTGTGCCCTCAACAGATGCTGCACACCGCACCATGGCTAGATAGGGTATCCCCTGCAGTGTAAACAGATGCTGCACACCACACCATGGCTAGATAGGGTACCCCCTGCAGTGTAAACAGATGCTGCATACCAAATCATGGCTAGACAGGGTATCCCCTGCAGTGTAAGCAGATGCTGCATACCAAATCATGGCTAGACAGGGTATTCCCTGCAGTCTAAACAGATGCTGCACACCACACCATGACTAGATAGGGTACCCCTTGCAGTCTAAACAGATGCTGTGCATTGCTCACTTAAGCCTTCACCTCTTGCCCCTGTCTTTCATTAGAATCTTACCTCCCAACAAAGTTCTCAGCTACCAACCACATCCTATTATTGAATGTGCACGCACACACACACACACACATATACACATATACACACACATGCACGCACGTACACATCATTTATCAATTGCTGCTTCAGTTAGGAATGACTTCACTCAGCCTGTCCAAGGGTATTTATTTAAATCAGTTGCAGACCTCTACCCTTAAGCACCTTCTACCAAGGGTCTCCAGGTCACCCTCTTCATACAAGAGGTTCAAAGTTCTTTGTGGGTGCATGTACATATAGTCCCAGTGTGTCCCTCCTGATATTTCTTTGGTGCGCACAAATTTCTCATAAAATACTTACTGAAGGGCTGTGTATTGAGAAAAAAAAATCAGGCTTTGGGCTTGACACCCATATTCCCATGTAGGAAGGGACACAGAGGGAAATGAAGAAAGCAGTTCCAATGTCTAGAAACATGCACACACGTGCAGCCAGGCATGAGCACACACATGGATGTCCCTCTCCTTCTCCACAACAGGCTGGTTCATATATTCTATCCATCTGTTTAAAAGCAGTTCCAGGATTAATAGTAACAGAAGTCAGTAGAGCTCCGAGGGCCCTTTAGCCCCCTCAAAGGTCTACGGTGTTGAAAATCTTGTTGTTCTAGTTCACAGGCCAAACAATAGAAAGGGGGAGACTGGGGTGAAGACTAGAACTGAACACCGAGGCACTGAGCTATTCTCCAAGAAAGGTCATAATGAGTGCAGTCTAGAAAACCCTAGGTTGGGTGTCGGGGACTCGTGTTTCAAGTTTAGGCTTCTAACTAGAAAATTCTTCCATCTGGAAAAATGATCAAACACTCCCCTTCACAGAATTTTTCTTTTCTAACCTCTTATCCCAAATGTGGTTTCCTCTCATGTAGCAGGCAGAACTGTGACTTTCAGAGAACAAGGCAGTTGACACCATCCTTTGTAGGATTTCCTCCTGGACTATTTTGACTCAGCTTCCAAATGAATAGGAGAGGTAAACTCAGTCAGTGTGTGGCTGGTAGTGTGACGGGACATGGGCAAGCTTGTATAGTCTGACCATGGTTCTCTTCCACCCGCACAATAAGAAACAGTCTCTAGTCTTAGACTAAGTTCAGACAAATCTTCCATTCCACTTCATATTGTCTATCTCCTCAAGTCTGAAGCCAGGCCAATGAGTCTTGGGTAGTGACTGTGAATCTGGGCTTTTCCAGGGCCCAGACAGAGTTCTCATCCATAACAGAGACCCAACTGCCAACGTCGGTCTCCAGCCTTGATCTTATTTACCCTCTGATGACCAACTGAGAGGAGGCCAAACTTCTTTTGGAAACCATGTCCTCCCTTCAGTTCCATGACACAGTCTTCCATTTTCTTGTCTGCCTCCTCTCCTGTTGCCCATTCCTAACACACCTGCTTTCCACTTTCTCCTGCCCTCTTTCCTCCTCTTTTTGCTTCCTTTTTCCTGATCAAACGTCTAATCCTAAGGCTTCAACTTGGTGCTCTGTACTGATTGTCCCCAAACTTGTATTTTCCTAGCTGTAGATCTACTTTTTAGTTGCCGACAAGTCTAGTTTGCATTCTGTTGCTGGATAAACATGACCGCAAGCACCATGAGGAGGAAAGTTTCATGTGTCTTTCAGCAAAGACTCTCACCATTCGGGTCTGAAAAGAGCCTACAATGTACTGAATAAGGAGTTTTAGATAGGAAAAAACCCCACAGTTCCCACTCACCCTTGTTCCAGAAATGCCTCAATCTGTTGCAGATATTTATTGAGCCCTTACTGAAAAGTTCTGAACTCAGAGCTTTTACTTGGGTTCCAGTTTTAGCAAATGCATTCCACCTTGTACCCCAGTACCAGAAAACTCTTGGGTCAGCCTTCTGCATGAGCTGAGTGTTTTCACCTGGTTGCCAGCTTCCCTTTCCCTGCTCTTTCTCACTGTGCCTTAGTGTCTTAGCCACAAACTAACACCTGCAGTCCTGCGAAGGATTTGCGAGTACTAAAAACTGCTACCTCGGCACACAGTGAACAGTCAATAACTTGTCACTGTCATCATTTTTATTTCTAAGGTACACTGTCTCCTGTGCCCAGGGAGTTCCCCCTTTCCCTTGATGAGATATGGCATGGAATTAAGTAGGGGCCCTCCCAGTCATCTGAGCCCCAAGGGAGGGCTCGGTTTGCCTCACAGGCTGCCCCAGCAAGACCTGGCTGGGGAAAGCAAGTACCTCTCAGAGTCAGGTAACCATAAGCCAGGTTGGCTAAAGCTTGAGCACACTTCCAGTGTTCTTTCCCAAAAATAATCCGAGAAAGGATGAAACACCGAATCAGCTCCTTGTTGGCCTTGATATTCTGCAGAGAGAGGAAAAAAAGTCAGTTTAGGGCAGGAAGAAAGTCTGGGGCACCTCACTAGAGGGTAGGACTACATTGGTCTGGAATCTTTTTTGCCATTCTGTTTCATCACTGAGTCCGGTTGGCTCTCCTTCACACACATATCCTAAAACCAAGCTCTTCTCATTTCCGCTTTGTGTTTGTTGTCTCTCAGCCACCCCCAGCTTTACGTGGCTGTACAGTAACCCTCCTGGCTGCGGCCTCTCTTGTCCGCCACACTCGCTCTTCTATCTGTCAACCAGAGAGCTTCCTTTAGCATTTGTCAGGGAAAGCTTTCATCATAAATAGAGAGAGAGCGAGTTAAATAGCATCATTAGTTTCCTGTTTCCTGCCATTGCCACTCCTACTCAAGCCTATACTCCCCATAACTTCTCCTTCTGTACCACTGAAGAAAATCTAGATTATTTCATCTATTAGTAATCTTGTAGGTAGATTAGAGACAACCACAAAATCATTATCACCAAAATATTAGCAGTGATTTCTTAATATCAAATAGAGTAATAAACCCAATATTTTGAAGGGATTTTGTTTGTTTGTTTTGTTTTGTTTTGTTTTTTTGAGACAGTGTTCCTCTGTGTAACTTTGGAGGCTGTCCTGGAACTCACTATGTAGACCAGGCTGGCCTCAGACTTACAGAGATCTGCCTGCCCCTGCCTCCCGAGTGCTGGGATAAAAGGCATGTTTTATTGTTTGGTGTTTTGAGACAGAGTTTTGCTATGTAGCTCAGGCTGGTCTTAAATTTATGATCCTCCTGTCTCTGCCTCATGAGTGTTGAGTGGAACCATGCCCAGGTTATCTTTAAAAAAAAAAAAGAAAACAAGCAAACGAACAAAACAAAATGACGAACCAAACAAAAACTTGTAGGCATAACTACTTTGTAAATATAGCATGCTCTTCTGTCAGAAGTTAATATTTGCTTGTCTTGTTTCCTGACATTAGCACACATTTTCCACCATTGCTCCCTCATATGTTAGCTGGAATACTTCTCTGAATTGAAATTCTTTAGGGCTGGTGAGATGGCTGAGTAGACTTAGGCACTTGCTGCCTAAAACTGCAAACCTGGTGATCTAGGGCTCAATCCCCAGATCCCATGTAAAGCTGGAAAGAACTGACTCCGCAACGCTGTCCTCTCATCGCTCTATGTGCTCTGATGCAGGCACAGGTGCACAGACACATTCGTCAAGAATGGTAAACAGAAATTTCACCCACCTAATTTTTTTGGCTGCCCAGTGGAACCATTTGTAATGAAAAGGCAGGCTACCTGATCATTCTTTCTCTTTGCCTACCCACTTTCAGAATAACAAGCTTGTTTGTGGACTTCCTCCAATGGCAAGCAAATACGTTATTGTAATTATTGTAAGCTTAAATGCTCTTAAACATTTTGTGTGGCAACATAATCTTTTAAGAGTATAATTAGTTTACATTACTGTCCTGTACTGTCCTGTATATATACATCATCCTTTCTATTTTTAAGAAAATCCAAAGTCTTTACCATAGTCTCCACACGCTCAGTATGACCATACACTGATCACTTCCTTAATTTTCTACCCCTTTCCATTCTTGCCTTTCTCTCACTGCTGCAAGCATACTGCCCAGCTGACCCCAAACAGGGCAATGAGCTTCCACTGTGGGCTCCCATGCCTGAGATGTTCTTGTGAGTATTTGGGTCTCTCGCTTCACTTTTATTGTGTTCACCTCAGAGGCTGTTCTTGGCTACTGTTCTAAAATAACTGGTGCGGGAGAATTATCTGTATTCTGTCAATCATGTATTTTAATAAAACGCTGATTGGCCAGGCAGGAAGTATAGGCTGGTCAACCAGACAGGAAGTAGAGGCGGGGCAATGAGAATAAAATAAGGCTATGGAGGAGGAAGGCCCCTCCGCCATTCCTGTGCAGACCACCGAAGAGACAGCATGTAACCTGCCCAGCTGAAAAAGGTACCAAGCCATGTGGCTAAGATAGATAAGGATAATGGGGTAACATAAGTTATAAGAACCAATAAGTAGCCTGACCTAATGAGCCAATCAGTTTATAATCTTATGGAGTCTTGTGAGTGATTTTCTTTGGGATTTGCTGGCTGTGGGGTACTGGGCAGGAACAGATACCCCAACAAGCCGGCCCTCATGTTACAAATAACCTGTTCCTTACCTGCTTTATTTTTAATCCATGGTCCTCCCATCTGATATTGTTGTTGGTTTACTATCTGCCTCCCCAAATAGACTCTAACTTCCTTAAGAAGTTTCCAGGTGTGATGGCTCATACCTTTAATCTCAGCACTCAGGTGGCAGAGGTGGATAGATCTCTGTGGAGTTAGGGACCAGCCTGGTCTACACAGTGATACTCAGGACATCCAGAGCTATACAGTGAGACTCTGTCTTAAAACAACCAGAAAGAGAGGGGTTTTTCCCTCTCGTTCACTGTTATAGGACTGTACACAGAGAAAGTATATTTACAGCATCCAATGAATGGACCATCTCTTGTAATAAGTATAACAATAAGGTAAGAGAGGGAGCTCGGCAGAGAGCTCTGGAAGACCACAAACCACACATTTGTGTTGTCATGCATTTCAGTGACTTTACATAGTCACCCAGTGGCTACAGTGGTCATCAACTCCAGACATTAATTTTTAGGTGAAGCCAAAATAGCCCTTTAAGGAATCGAGAGCTAAAGTTCTGGCTAGTCTGTGATGTGTGCCGGCTACATTGCTTTGGGGATGGTCAACCAAACCCCAGCTTCCTGTCCTGAAATTTGGAAACCTGTACCACCTACCTTAAAGAGTTATTGCAAGAAGACAATTAGTTCATGTTCACATGATCCAAATTTGTGAAGAATCATCTAGTTACATTCTTTTTAAAATACAGTAACCTTTCATGTGGGTCCACAGACTGCCTCCTCTTGACTCCTGCATTTCCTACATCAACCAGGTACTTCTGCTTCTTCTGATGCAAGCCACAAACAAGGGACATCTCCCCAAAGTTTAAAAATATCCAGTCAACATTTTGGAGAGTTCATCAAGGGATAACCATAACAAACATTAAGCTCTATTATGAGTAAAAAACCAAGTACCAGAAAAACTTCCAACAGGAGGAGTCCAGAGCCCTGGGATGGGCTGGCTAACCCTTAACAGTTTGTATCACTCTGATACTCCTTGTCCTAGGGAAGGAGAGACAACCAGTATGGGCGTTAGAGACCACCCCACCACTGTTGCTTATAGTAGTATCCTGTCCTTTAAGGCTGTGATTATTAGACTGAGTGACATTTAACTCCTAAGATATAAATATTTTCATTATCTAAACTGGACAAAGAGTTTCAAACCATGAATCCTCTACTGGTTAGGCTGGTTAGTCTGCTGTGAGTCGACTGATGAGAGTGACTCTCATCTGAGGAACTACTCACATCAGATTGGCTTCTTGTCTATGAAGCGTTGTGTTGACTGTTAATTGGAGTAGGAGGGCCCCAACCCTTTTCTATGGGCAGAAAAGCCTTAGGCAAGTGGGTCTGGACTACATAAGAAAGCTAGCTGGGCATGGACCAGAAAGAGCAAGCGAGAGAGCATCTTTTCTCCATGGTTCCTGCCTGTGACCCTGCATGAGTTCCTGCCATGGCTTCCCTCAGTGATGGACTGTCACCTGCAAGCATAAGCCAAATAAACCCTTTGATCTCCAAGTCACTTTTGGTCATACTGCTTATTGCAGCCACAGAAAGCAGAGAAGCACACTTGCACTGTGTGGAAGACGGTACTTTTTTGCTTATAGAAATGATATTTCCAGAATACATGTGTGAACTGAGGAAGATCCAGGTTGGGATGGTTGTCCACCGAAGTTCTTGAGACAGTTTGTGGAGGCAGATGGACAGATACTTATCAAAGAGGTAACAGCAGTGTTTGCCTCTAGGGTCCTTCTCAGTCTTTCCTGTGCCCTCCTCCCACTTTCCTCATATGTACTTTAGAATCATTTTCTCTTGGCCACACATGACCAGGAGTCAGTGTGTGAACTTCCCTGTTGATAAACCACAATCTGGGAGCAGGCTGGTGGCCGTGTCCTAATAAGGAAAGTCAGTGTCAAGATCCTAGATTTTGAACCCTTTTGTTTATACACCTACTCAGAGATCAGAATTCCCAGTCCTTAACTTAACCATATAAATACGTTCACCTTCATCTAGAGGCTAATATGTTCACCTTCATCTGGATGCAAACCTCTGCTGCTTTCTGTTTCTTGTTCTTTGGTTTGTCTGTGATGTGGGATTCCCCTTTGTATGCTTTGAATACCATTGTTGAGTAAAATCTATCTTGGCCTGTTGATAGGGCAGAACTTAGGTAGGCAGGGAAAACTAAACTGAATGCTGGGAGAAAGAAAGGCTGAGTGAGAGAGAAGCCATGTAGCCCCACCAGAGACAGATGCCGAAACTTACCAGTAAGCTGCAACCACACGGCGATACACAGGTTAGTGGAAATGGGTTAAATTAAAATGTAAGAGTTAGCCAAAAAGAAGTTAGAGCTAATGGGCCAAGCAGTGATTTAAATAATATACTTTCTGTGTAATTATTTTGGGTCTGAGCAGCCGGAAAACAAACTAGCAGCTTCTTACAATATGTCTGATTCTACGGTAATCTTGACATCCTCCCTATATCAATTATCTGCTTGACCACTGCTGTTCTTGACCTTTTGCTTTACCATCCTGACCCTCTCTTACCCAAGGATTATCTTGAAACCTTGATATAAGGCATAAGAGACTTCTTAAGATAAGGCTAAACAAACAGCAATTGGGTATGACAAACACCAAATGTTTTAGTTAAAATTTTGGTTAAAAGTTAAAAGTATGGTTTTAATAGCCTGTCTGCAGCAAGGTAAGACTGCAGGCAGGGAGATTTCTGACCAGCAAGTGGCACTGATCCTGTAGCAGAAGATACAATAGAGGGCCTGCCTGCAGCAAGGTAAGACTGCAGGCAGGGAGATTTCTGAC